GTCTCACAAAGGGGTCAGCCAAGGTGACAGTGACTGGAATGTGCAGTGGCGTGAGGTCAGTGTAGTCGCGAAAGAAATAGCTGGATGCTCCAGAGTCTAGGGTGAATGAAAGTTGTGCAGTCGGTGAAGTAGTTTTCGAGCCAGCGACCAAGGCTAGTACTAGACTAGTGGTAGCTGCAACTCCCACACAAAGACCCTCAGAGGTGCCTGGACTGGAAACTACACATGCACCAAGACTGAAAACACATGTCTCTACTCATGCAGCCAAGAAAGGTCCTAGACCAGGTAGGTGAGACTCAACTGGTGCAAAAGTGCACTGGCAAAGACGTGAAGGCTAGTGCGGTGTAACAGCGTCAGGATCAAAACGCTCATGTTGGAGGTCGTCGAGGTGACGGTAGCAACGGGACACAGAGTGGTCAGGACTCTAACAGGTAGTGCCAACAACGGGGCTAGTCAGGATCCGGTACCCGCAGGGACCAACGTCGCGCCTACTCTTGGCTGAGCTGCTGCTGAGGCTGGTACTCCTAGGACCCTCAGGTCCCCACTGCCAGGAGTGCTGCAACTGTGGTCGTAGCGGCTGACCCTGCTGCAGTAGAACTCTAGTAGACGCCATGGTAGGTGCTAGAGACGGCCGAGTGTGGTGGGGAGTGGCTAGGAGCGGTCGGGTACGGTCTGGTGCGGTCTAGTGCAGTGGAAAACGGCTAGTAGCAGTCGATAGCAGGGCCTACTAGCTAGGGGGTAGCTGGTGAGGCAGTGGATACAGGTGGGGTAGCGGGTGGGGCGACTGGGTATGGGTGGGGCAGCGAGGAACAGGTGGAGCAGCATGTTACGGGTGCGGTCGCAGGCTACGGGTGGGGCAGCTCATGGGGAGGCGTGTTTCAGCGTGTGGGGCGGCGGGTTTCAGGAGGGACAGCGGTTTCAGGTCGTTGGGCCGCGGTTTCAGGTCATGGGGCGGCGGTTTCAGGTTGTGGGGTGGCAGGTTTCAGATGGGGCGGCGGTTTCAGGTCGTGGGGCGGCGTTTTTTGGTGTGGGGCGATGAATTTCAGGTGTGGGGAGGCGGGTTTCATGTGCGGTGCGGCGGGTTCAGGTGTGGGGTGGCGGGTTTCAGGTGTGAGGCGACGGGTTTCAGGTGTGAGGCATCGGTTACAAGGGTGGGGCGACGGGTTTCAGGTGTTGGGCGGCGGGTTCAGGTGTGGGGCGGCAGGTTTCAGGTGTGAGGCGGCGGTTTCAGGTGTGGGGCGGGGGGTTTCAGGTGTGTGGCGACGGGTTTCAGGTTTGAGGCGGCGGTTTCAGGAGCGGGGCGGCGGGTTTCAAGTGTGGGGCGGCGGCTCTAGGTGGGGCGACGGTTAAGGCAGTGGGCGACGAGTGGGAAAGGGCGCAGCGTATGTGCGTGCGGCCACGCGTACGGCCAAGGCCGCGCGTGCAGCTTCGCGCGTGCATCTGCTGCGCGCTAGCGGGCTAGCGGGCAACGCGCGGGGCAAAACCGGGTCCTTTCTAGCTCGCAATTCAGGGGAGGGGTGGGGAGGAGGGGGGGGGGGGGGGGGGGAGGGGAGGGGGGGGGGGGGGGGAGGGGGTATTCCTAGGGGGTCCTTCTAGCTCGCGGGGGTCCTTCTAGCTCGCGATTTAGGGGGCCCGTGGGGGCCTTCCTAGGTCGCGACATGGGGGACCCACGGGGGTCTCTCTCTAGCGTGCAATTCAACGGGGGGGAGCGGGGCACACAGGGGTGGCGGGGCACTAAGGGTAACGGGGTACTAACGGACGAGCACGGGTTGGAGGGCCCATAGGAAATGAATTTCTCTATACCATGTCAATGTAGTAATTGAATGAATGATTAGAAAAGAGAATGACAAGGAAGATATATGCAAGCCCTAGCCAACCCTAAGCATGAACGTACACCACACCACCTAGACTAACAAATATAAGCTATAACAAATATAGCTTGACAAGTACCTCCAACACCTACAGCTCCAGTACCTCCAACACCAGCACCTCCAGCACCAGCACCTCCAGCACCAGCACCTCCAGCACCAGCGCCTTCAGTACCGACACCAGAGCGGCCTCGCCTAACAAACCACTCACGAAGCTGCTGCGATGAGAGAGGCTCCTGTCGACGAGGCTGCTGCTGCTGTCCATCCCCAAAACCTCCAGCAAGAGCACCCACGACTCCACTAACACCACGGCGCTCCGCACCTCTTGAACCAGCAACCCCAGAGTCCACACCTCCAGCGTCACCACCCCCAGTAGCATCGGAATACATAGCAGCAGGCTGCAGCGGCGAAGATGGCAGAGGCGGAAAACCAGACTAGGTAAAATTTTGTCTGAATTCCCAGACCAGCCAGCTCGTACGGCGGAAGTTTGAGCCCGCTCGCTGTTACTACCAGCATGACAGTAACACGCTCCTTCTCATAGCCTGCACTCCGTATGTGAACAGTCCGCGCTTTCTTCATTTCGAGCGTGCGCTCCGCTGTCATCTCTAGGAAAAGCGGAGTCTGGTCCGCGTTCACGATGACGTCAAGCGGGTAATCATGCAGAGAGCTCATCCGGAGCACGAACTCCCAAAGCGTCTCGACCTTGGCCTTGCAATCTGCAAACAGAGCAACAAAAAACATTAGCTAAACACTGCCATGGGTTAACCGAGAGCATGATAACGCTTCACCATACCCGCTGCCAGCTTCTGTCCCATCTTTGTCTTCACCCGCCTCGCCAAATACCAGCACGCGCGGAAACGAGTCGCCCACAGGAACAAAGCGTGCCAGTTGACCCCGGGCATCTTATGCTTCATGTACTTGGCGCTCCACTTCTGGAGCATGTTGACCGTGACGGCATGGCCCCTCGCTCGGTGTTGAAGGAGCTGGCGGTAGACAGCCCGTTCCATAAGCGGGTACTTGGACTTGCGCCCGTGCCCCATGAGGTGACGGCGGCAGCTGGAAGCGACCTCCAGCCGCTCCCTCATCTTCTTCCATTCGCGGATCTGGCAGGGCTGGATGTTCGCGAGCTTTGCCAGGGCGCGATTAGACAGGTCGGGCTGAGAGTCCTGCATCTTCAACCTGTGGAGTTTCTCCTTCGCGGTGACTGCATTCCGCTGGCGTTTCGTCATGCGGTGGCGAGGACTTGGCGGGGCAGCATCGGCGTTGCGCTTCTCTGTCCCTGCGGGCGGTTACGCTCATGGAACATGGGGACAACCACTCGAGGAAGGGTGGGGCGAGGACGGTCAGAGCTAATGCTCGGTTCATACTGGCCAGAAGCACTACCGGAAGCATCCGGAAGGGGCAAGATAGGGCGAGGAGACGTCCGTGCGTGTGCAGCTGCGCTAGTCTGAACGGTAAAAGGGCGCTGTCGCCTATCAACGGTACTGCTAGAATCTGGTGATAACGCCATGCTAGGGGGATGGTGTCACTCGCCATGGCAGACGATACAGTAAACTACAAGTCACGAGCACAAGGAGGAGCCACTCTCACAGCCTGCCGAGCACTTGTCAATAACGTGCACTGGAGCAGGGCCCAAAATATCAGAGTAAAACGCCCTGATTACCCTGGGGGCAGGCCGCTTTTTCAGGATTACCCTGCCAAAATCAGGATTCCACGAAAGTTACCCTTTTGCAAAAAGAGCAATGTTTTTTTTTACCCTGATAGGATTTATGGTTAGCCTAACAGTATCAGGGTAGGGTGTAGACTACCCTGATACCGAAACTTTTTTACCGCGGATCAGGCCATACTCCGCTTGGTGACGAACTGTACCACACCCACACAAACAAGCGTTGTCGCTTCTTACCACTGGCATAAAACCAAGAGTCGTTGTCGGTGACACGCCATGTCGCCTCATTGGTTGTTTCACCCAATGAGGCGACACCCAGTTTGTAGAAGTAGTAGGCAATGGGGGTGGCACTGAGTAGGTGTGTTGTGAATGTGATGCTCTTCCAGAGCTTATGGACTTTGTGAGTGCTACTTTATTATGTCACTGTAAATAACTTAGCTCACAAACAGTAACCGAAACAGGGTTGGCCTAAAACTACCCTGCTCAAATCAGGCTAGTGGTTGATTCACCCTGCTGCAAACAGGGTACGAAAAAATTTACCCTAGGGGTCGGGGTAAGGAGCAGGCCCCTAGATTCGTTTTGAGGTAGTCTGAGGCCTCAGAGTACACCCCTCTTCCTAGTCTGGCTGTCAGAGTAACCCGATTATTTTAGTCTGAAAGTTCAGACTACACTTGCATTTCAACGCTGATCTTACAGAGTACCAATCAATTTTCCACCACATATGAAAACCAAGTGAAGTGAACTTTTTACATTTCTTCTTGATAATCTGTCAGAGATACTACAGGGGCACGTTCTACTACTGGCTCGTCTACAGGCTCCTTCCCAGCCCTTGGGGGCTCCTCCCTGTGCCTTGCGGCAGGTGCTGTGACCGGCCGGCGCTTCTTGTAGCTGCGCCAAGTCTCTACTACTCCTGGGACATCTAGCTCATAGTCTAGCATTGAAATACAAAGCAGATCACTCAGCCTACAATCCTTTATGCTGCCCCTCTGCCACGTTTTGATGAGATTTTGTCGGGAGAATCCTCGCTCACACTCGACCGTGCTGAGAGGCAGCACTGCAATCGCCACCCACAGTCCGACGAGGTTGGGGTACGCCTGCTGCCAGTCGGGTAAGTCCCGTGTGGAACTCAGCCATGTCGGTGCAGAGCGCAACGCAGGCATGGTGATGACCTGGCCCACGATAGCTCGGGTTGGTGCACTCGTGGAGTTTTACCTTGAAGCGGTTCATACTGCCGTCGGACGATGCTCCTTCCACCACCATTTCGGGTGACCCAGTCGGACCGTGCTTCTCAATGAAGCGGTACAACCTCTCGGTGGCCCCCCCCCCCGAAGTCGTCTCCACAGTCGATGTAACGGGCCTCCAAGATCGATGTTGTGCGCACAATCTGCGTGTGCACCAGCGCGTAGTCGAGCTGCAACACAGACATTCAACGAATATAAGTACAAAGGGAGCTGCAACACAAACATTCAAAGGGTATCAACACAAGCAACACCCTGGAAGTCACTTACCTCCCGCTTCTGGAAAACCGAGGAGAGGACGTTGAGCTGCTCCAGCATGTCCGCGAGGAACCTGATGAGGAACTGGAACCTGTACGACGTGACGAGTTCGTACATGGTCTGGTCCTTCCACTCCGACAACATCACCATGATGGCTGGAAGGACTTGGACGAAGCTGGCCACTGCAGCTCCTCTTGACAGCCACCGCACGTCGTGTATTCCTTGGACCTCGAGGTTGGTGGACGTGAACACCTCCTGCAGCTCCATGAAGCATTGATGCCACGGCGACGATCGCCCGAGGTACTCTGCGACGGCGCGGACCACGTCGTCGACCATGTTGAAGGTTGGTATCGCCTCCGCCGCGGCCTTGGCAGCCAAGGCCTCTCTGCCAAACAGAACCACACACATAGTTAGAGAATGATGATAATCATCACCGACGTTTACACATGACATTTAAACACAAACGCACCGGTGAGCGATGCAGTGAAACGAGACCAGGTTGGGGACGAGCATTCGCAGACGAGCAACCACACCGTTTTGACTCCCCACCATCACCGAGGCGCCATCCGTGCTCACTCCCGAGATACGCCGCAGGTCAACTCCGACAGCCCTGAGGTGGGAAAGCAACAAGCTGCACAAAGACGCAGCGTCAGCCTTCTCAATCGTCAAATGGGCGACGAACTCGGTGACAACTTGCCCATCGCGGAGAAACGTGGCAAACACAATCATGTGTTTGCTGCGCCGACGGTCGGTGCTCTCGTCAAGTGTTATCCCGATGAAAGGGCTCGAGAGAAGGTGCTCCGGTTGCGTTGTTTGAAGCCACGTGGCAATCGCTTGAGTGAGCTCTCCAAATCCGTACCTACACAAGGAAAACGAAGTTGTTAGCGACGGTCAACGGGAAAAAAATGTCATAAACCCTAAACCCTTACGTATTATAGTATGTTCCGTAGCCCTGCTCGGGAAACCCGGGCACCTTCTTCTTCGCCAGGTAGCGCACCAGCCGGATCCACGAGTCCATGGGCTCGTTGCACTTCCCCATGAAGTACAGGGAGTCCACGAGCGACGACACCTGCAGCAGCTCCATGTCCTGCGCTTTCGGGTGCATGTCAATGCGCTGCTGTCGCCCATACTTCTGCAGCAAGTCCTCCTGGCGCTGCAGAGCAAAGCGGTGCTTCACCGTCCCTTCGTGCTTCTTGAAAGACTGTGTCTGCACGTCTGTAGCTCCCTCGGTACGCCGCCCACACTTGCCATTCAATCCCGCAAACTCCAAGCAAATACTGCACTTGAAAGAAGGGGCACCAGAAGAGGTCTTAGTTAGAACAAGCCAACTGTAATCGGTGGACCACTTGGATTTAAATCTCTCATGAGCTTCTTCGTATTTCAACTCAGGATTGTCGGAATTGGGCTTTGAGCTGCCCTGCGTGGGCTTTGAGCTGTCCTGCGTGGGCTTCGAGCTGTCCTGCATGGGAGAATCGTCGCTCGCAGGAGTCACAACGGTCGATGGAGGAGGCGGAGCTGCCCACCCAAGGGTGGACTGACGGTACCGCAGCTTCGACGATGGCGCGGGTCGAGAAGGTGCACCGACGGACGCCTCATGGGGCACCGCCTGTTGCGCAGCGGTCGCTGGTTCAGTGACGGCCTCGTGCAGAGGTGGGGTTTCTCTGGGAATAGGTGGGCGGCTCGAGCTGGGTTGCGACGGTGGCGTTTGCGGTGGATTGTGCTTCGGTAGGACAGACCTAAGGAAGTCTAGACCGGTGAGTGGGTCGGAAACTGGGCGACCGACTGCATCATCCTCATCGTCGGGCCCATCCGCGACAGCCTCTGTGGCTGCCATTGAGCCTGCCGAGCAGAGTTGTAGCGAGCTAGGAAAGGGGAGCCTGAAACAAGGGCTCCTACACTAGTTTCAGGCGAGGCAAATGGAGTGGGCCCTGAGAGAGACGGGCAAGAACGGTGTCCAACAGGAAGATGAGAGGTCCTCGTAGTAGGACCTCTCATCACCCAGGTGGTCATTGCATGCACGGCACCTGGGCGTGAATCCTTGGAAGGTGGGGTGAATGGGGTGGATGGATGTGGTCACGTGAGAGTAGCAGCGCGGTGCGAGCCCTGCGTTGGCAACTGGGCTGGTGGGGTGGGGTGGATGGACGTGGTGACGTGAGAGTGGCAGCGCGCTGCGAGCCATGCGTTGGCAACATTGAAGGCGGGGTGTGGTGGATGGTCGTGGTGTAGAGCGAAGGTGCAGTGCGCGGCGAGCTACCGTCATCGCCCGGATATAAGACATATATGTCTTATCTCGTACATTAGACAAAATGCTTGGGTTATCTTGTATTTGGGGAGGTTTTGGGTGTCTTATAAGTCTTATAAATGGACAAAGAACCGTTTAGAAGATACCCCCTCGTTATACAACTGCCCCTAACCCTAACACTAGCTTAACTGGTGCACACAAATAGGTGTCTTATAATGAGGCTAGCCTGTTTATAAATTATAAGAGACACCCGGATAATAGACAACCCCTGTCTACTGTCCGGGTGATGATCTTTTTATGTTTGCAAGGAATCTTGCCAACACTGCCTGCTGTTGGAAACAACTAATTCTAAGCGCCTCTGTCGTGTCGAAGCATCAAGGTACAAGCGAAGCACAACCTATCGCAGCATCAGCGAGTCAACCCTCGGAGGTTGAGCAACTGCTGGAGGTTACGCGAAGGTCAAAAGTCAGCGACCCTTGACCTGACAAGTACAGCACGACAGCAAGGACACACAACTGACTCGCTACAGAGCAGTTGCCCGAGTCGTCACTGTATCGAACCGCAACAGCAACAGTAAAGTAGTTATAACTGTATCTCTTCGTATTCCTTGTACTCATATATATAATCCTGTATCTCTTTGCCTTAATCAATCAACTTTGCCCTCACACACTAGCGCAAGGTGGTTCACAAACTCTTTATTAAAAACGCTTCCGCTACTACATCAGTTCTACCCAGAATTCACCCCTGCAAAGATCCTAAGGACTATTTCTCAGCCCAACATGGTATGAGAGCTATCAGGGGGAATTCAACTATCAAGACACCTACAACATCAGAAGGCATGGCTACTCATAAGGAAAGGAGTTCCTCTGTTGGTTCTCCCGGCACTACTCCTACTCCACCTCCTGCCTCTGGCCTACAGACAGAGGAGGGTACGGCAACAAGACCCAGGGCAACATCTACCGAGACTCCCGCGAATCAACCTGTAGGCTTCGACCAGAGCATGATGGAGAAGTTTTTCTCCTTCATGTCCTTCTACGAGCAACACCAGCAATCGGCACCTTCATGTCCTTCTACGAGCAACACCAGCAATCAACCCTACGGTTTGCACTCGGCTTGTTGTCCGTGTGCGTGATTGTGTGTGTGTATGGAATGGTATGAGGGCATGGGATAATATATATTTCATGCTTATAATTGTGTGTGAATGTTGAGTCATGATGTCGAGTGTGTGTGTGGAGTCAATAGCGAGTTATCGCTAGACGCGTGTTACGCGGTCGTTTGTGTCTCGCGCGCGGTTTCTATTTTGTCGTGCGCGGTTTCTATTTTGTCCTGTGTCGAACGTTCGGCGTGTCGCAGGTGTGTGCAGCAGACCCATCAAGAACTCAAGGATGAGTTTGTGATGAAGAGCCCGAGCCTTGGTGTCAAGCCTCAAGTGATTTCGAAGCTTGCCAAAAAGGGTACACCTCAAGATATTGAAGATAGTTACATTACTTTGTGTAGTGTAACATTTCACTTGGTGTAGGCCCTAGTGAAGGGTAGTTTCGAGACCCTTCGTGGTTGGGGTAGTGAAGGGTAGTCATTCCCAACTCGTAACTCTTCCTATCTTGTGTTCTAAGACTATAGTGGCTGCCATAGTACCGTTCGTTCAAACCGACGCTGTGTCGTCAATTCTTTATCAAATCGTGCAATCTAAATTGCTAATTGTAGACGACGTGAAGACGCTCCAGATCCAATTTGAATCAAGTCATTTGCAGCTGTGAGAAGAACGCTATCAACGTTTGAAGCCGCTGTGCAGAAATCCATCTGTGCTCTCTATCTTTCGTTTTAGGCACATTCAAGCCTATTGTGACTATAACAAGTGGTATCAGAGCCCCTTGGAGCAGTTTCGACAATGTATGGACCTGAGGAAAGGGGTGGCAGAGGTGCTGGTGGCAGTGGAGAAGCTCAAGCTCAAGGCCAACCCCGTGATTCAGCCATGGCGCCCATGCAACCAAGTCTTGGCCCACCTAGGGATGAGCCTAGGGTGTTTGGGCTTGACAAGTTCAACGGTGACAACTTTGCTGAATGGTCCTTCAAGATGGAGAACATCTTTGACCACTATGACCTGCTGGAGGTGATGGAAGGAACGGAGAAGCGCCCCGAGAACGACCCGGAGAAGAGCCCGTGGGTGCGGAAGAGCGCACAAGGCTATCTCTTACTTGGGCAAGCGTTGGGGAGCAGTCAGATCCGTCACATCAAGCCATTCCAGCGTGAACCAGAGAAAGGACCAAAGGCATGGGCTGCTCTCAAGGGTGTACATGCTCCTGCAACAGCGGCGGTAGCGGTGGTGTTGGAACGGCAAATGGCGGCACTACGAATTGAAGAAGACGAAGCGGTTGAAGAAGGGGTGCAGAAATTCTTCGACTTGTTGACGCGGCTTGAGGGAGCTGATTTGAACTACAGTGAGCTCCAAAAGAAGACCAAGTTGCTGGCCTTACTCCCAGAGTCATGGTCCTCGCTCATCATCAACCTTAATCGCGACTTGCCCCGCCTCTCGCTTGAAGACGTGAAGCGAGCTATCCTTCAAGAGGATTTCCGCCGCCGTGAGTTGGCGAGTGCGGATGGCGCTGGGGCAGCGAGCATCGGCCGTGGATATGGTCGAGGAAGAGGCAGAGGACGAGGGGGAGGAAGGTTTGGTGGCAGCAACTTCGGCGGAGGCCGCAGGAGTGGCGGTTACGGCAGCGACGACAAGAGCTACGGACGCGGTCGCGGCCGATTCGACGGCGAGTGTCACTATTGCCACAAGAGCGGACACATGTGGCGCGACTGCTACAAACTCCCTGATGGTTGGACCCCTGCTCAAGGCCAAGAGGGTAGAGGAGCAGGAGGAGGGAGAGGACGAGGCCGTGGAGGCCGTGGCGGTCGCGGTGGCGGAGCTGCAAACATGAAGAGCGGAGACAACGACAAGGACTCGAGCGACGATCGATACCCGGGTCTATTCTACTTCGTGTCGACGCAAGTACCGGCTGGTCCAGAGAAGGATGAAGGCCTTGAGGAGCCAGCAGCTGTGGGGAAGGTGACCCTACACCCCCTGGACTATTGGGTGATTGATAGTGGCGCTACCTATAGCATGACACCTCGCCCGGACTTGCTCACCGAACTCGAGCCGTCACCGGTGAAGCATGTCACATCGGCTTTGGGGCAGCGAGCAGAGGTGAAAGGCATGGGCAAGGCCATGTTCAAGGGTGATGATGGGAAGATGGTGGGCCTCAAGAACGTGCTTTGGGTGCCCAGCCTTGCTGCAAACCTGATTTCCGTGCGGCGGTTGGCAAAGGCCGGCATGGACACGAACTCGAAGGGAGCCAAGACCTACACCGCAAGGCTTGGCGATCGAATTCTTTGGGACCTTCATGAGGACAGGGATGTCTACAACGAGATGTGGCAGATCCCAGTGGTCCCTATGCCTAAGGAGAGGCAAGTGGCAGCAAGCATCAGCATCAAGGATGGAGCGGTCGGTAGCGACGATGGCGCGAACGGTCGCGCTAAGGAGAATGAGCTCAAGAAGAGCAAACCTGGAGGGACCAGCAAGTTCAGTGAACCTAAGGAGAGTGGTGCAGCAACCAAGGAGCAGCAAAAGGGTGAGGAGAACCCAGAGGCAGCAGCGGAGGAGGACTACGGAGAGAGTATGTGGGGCGCTATTGCGAGCGCGGCATTCTCCAATCCAACTTCGGCTACGGGGGAGTGTGATTGGCTCACCTTGCATCGGCGCATGGGGCATGTGGCCCTGCCCATCTTGCAGCAGCTAGTGAAGAATGAGATGGTTGCTGGCATACGTGTGAAGGGGGAGCCCGATGAGGTGCTTGGCTGCCCGACGTGCATTCAAGCCA